GGATTGTGACCACGAGCGTTGCTTGATGACCAAATATGGTTTACCTCAATGCTGTGCAGCCTCTGTTGGTACTTTATCACTTTCCTGAGACTTTTTGAGAAATTTAGGTATAAAGTGCAGTTCAAGTCTGAAAAGCAGTCCTGTAAAAAATGTATTATGACGCATGTTGGCAGGAACCCCTTTTAGCCAGTTCAGCCAGGACTAATTTACCTAGCTGGCTAAACCTGGCAGAGCCTCTAACTGGCAGCCCCACTCCATGGCCAATGAACCATCATAACACTGTTAACACCTCCTGATTGGCTTCTGGGGATAGCAGCGTCTCCATTTAAATCTACCTATGGCAGCAGACTGCAGGTAGATAACAGATCTTTCTGAAGGTCTGCTATGGTAAGCCCCCTTGGATCATGTGTTCTTGGTTTTTGGATTTCTGACCTTGTTTGGCTCTGCTTCTGGACTCTGGCTTTTTGGAAACTCCCCTTGGTCTCTGCCTCTAGAATCCTGTCTTGGCCTGTAACTTGGAATCTGCTTCTGGTATTCCCCCTTGGTTTGGGTACCTTGGACTCTGCCTCTGGTTCCTGCCCTTCCCAGTGGCCTAAACACTAGGCCAGACCACCTTTGATCTGGTCCTTACTCCAAGCTTACTGCCTTCCACATCAAGGTTACCTAATTAGCAGGGTTCCACATGAAGGTTACCTAATGCCAATTCAATGGGGACTCAATGAAGTCAAGCTGGGTTTTTACTTCTCATCCCAGTAAAAAGACAAAAAACAAAACAAAACAAACAAACCAAACTCTTCCCTTAGGTCCATCTGTAAAATGCATTTATCTTGAGCTTATTTTTTTCAGGGTCCCACACAACATACCACTGTTGAATAGGTGGGACTGTTTGACCCCAGGAGAACTGAGCAACCAATTTGGGATTGCACAAGAAGGAATAGACTTCATCTCACAATGTTTTCTTTGTTGTGGCTCTGCAGGGCTACCACAAGGAAAAGGTGTGAAAAATGTATATTCTTCACTACCATAAGCAGAAGTGACTCAGGATACCCACTGGGAGAAAACATGTCTTTTTTACTGTCTCTTTTACTGCACAGAGTAGAACTGCACTTTAAGTTGTACTTTGGTTGAAAACAGCCCTCATCCTATCTCTACACATTGAACAGCTATTGTATTTATTGGGATTTTTGAGACTCTTGCAATTTGATCTTAATGTGCTTTTTTTTATATTTGATGCTTTTCTTAAATCTCCAGATGCTGGGACTACAACATTGCAAGGGAATCTCAGCTCTCCTTTAAAAAAGAATCTTCTGGTTACAGAAGAAAGTTTGTAAAAATGATGTGAGTGCATCTTTATGGCTCAGAGACAGGAAGAGAGAGAACCTAAAATATACTATGATTTTTGAATGCCATTATTTTTTAATAATTTCAGTGATTTGGGGACTCAATTCATGATTTCTGAATGCTTGGAAGATGAGATCCTGCTACTAGACAAAGGGGAGAGAGAAATTTTTTTGTTGAAACAGTGCACATCCACACAGATGACTACAATTAAAAAAGAAGACATTTAGAAGGAAGTTCAGTAGAATAAACACAACAAAGTATCTCAAGGCTTTAGAGTGTGGAGTGCTTCAAATCAAGAGCAAGGAATATAGTGCTGCCCTTGTGCAGTTTTATCATAGTGGCCTGATACAGACATTATACTTTTACTGGTATAAGTGATTGGAAACGAGTCTATGCCTGTAACAGAACAGAAGTTTGGCACACAGAGACTGGTTTAAAAATAGTGGAACCTGGTCTAAGATTTGCACCTAAACCAAAGGACGAATGTGTGTTCTGTTCACTACTGATCTAAACTACACTGCTTGTAGAAAACTGTGTAACTCTGATTCCATCTTGGGGTCTTTGAATGCCTGTAGCCAGTGAAACAGTATACTGTACCTTGCCTCACCTATATTTTTACAGAATAGCCGACATGGGTGCTGACAGCTGTTAAAAATAGGCACTTTACTGGAAGCAGCAGCATGTTTGTTCTGCCTGGCTCCACAGCGTCTTTATAGATCAGGCACTTCAGCATGGCTTTTTGGCACTTTTAGCTAAAGCTGACTCAATCAACTATTAGGTAAAAGCACCAAAAAAGCCCCATGAACGTGCCCAATCTCTACAGATGTTGGGAAAGCAGGGTGCAACTAATGTGCTGCCTCTTCTAGACATGCGTCAGGTTCAGCATGGGAGTGCGCCAAGTTTAAATTAAAGCACCAAGGTTTGGGGGGGCTTTTTGTTTTTCCATGTCTGCAAGCAGTCATATTGGTTACCTGGTGATAAAAATACTTATTCTCTTAGAAGTCAAGTCATAGTCATAGCTAATTTTTTTTTGGCTACAGTGCTCCTTGTCACCATTTCCAAAAGACAGCCTCTCCTGTGCAAGACTTCTAGCTACATAAAAGATTTATTCCAATGATTTTTATTGGCCATTGTCTCTCCTCATATATTTGGATACTTCTGATGCTGCAAATGAAAAAAGCTTTATATTCTCTTGACTTTTTTAGTGAAAATAAGTACATATTCAAATAGGAAAATATTATTTTTCTTCCAAAGAATAATTTTTCAGTGGGAAGAAATGAACCATTTTTGCTGTAATACAGAGCTATGGATTTGCCCACAGAAATATCCCCTACCAAATGAATGTTTTGAATGTGAAACTGTTTCCACACAGGAACATTGTCAAAACAGCAATGGGTGAATTTGCACTTCTCTGAAAGCGACTTTACTATTACTATTACCTTCATATATTTAATCAAACAGGAAATAAAACAAAGATGTCTGTTGTTTCGAGGTACCCATCATTGCCAAAAGAACAAATATCCACTATTTATGCTAGTTGTTTCTAAACCCATTATGCTAATGATAATTATTATATTCACTATTATGTTAAGTACATGCAAACTATGACTACTGTTATGGAAATGAAAGGTAAGGTGACATTAACATTCTATCAGTAATACATTAGATGATAATGTGGGTTAATCCTGAAAGATACAGAAGTCTTTCCATTGAAAAAGGTAAACTGAGCTAATTCTTTAAGAAAAAAACATGTTGGTTAGCATAGTATTTATTTATTTTCCATTTTCTAGATTTTGAGGTTGTGAGGACCCCCTACTTGATATTAGCTGCACCTAATATAAACTATACCTGGTATTAGCTGCAGCCGCTATGAGATAAGTCTAAGCTATGAAACACAGATCCTAAATTTCATCTGAAATTTCCCAACATTTAGGGCCCCTCTACACATGCAGGTAAAGATGCTATGAGATCTGATGTGCAATCCACACAATTGTGCCTCCTGCCATGCCACAAATGCATGGCAGAAGGCATGACTGTGGGATCATGAATCGGATCCCATCATGCCTTATAGCTGGCAAGAAGGACACCACATCAGCTGTGTTCTCCTGTGGGGGTGCAAGGGGCACACCTGCAGCTGGGAGTCCTGGGGCTTCCAGTTACAGGGGTATGTGTTCCCACGGCTGGGAGCCAGATTCCCAGATTCAAGGGTGCACATGGGTTCCTCTAGTTGGAAGCTCCAATCAGCTGTTGGGGCTTCCAGACACAGGGGCTCCTGGCCACATATTCAATGAATGTCATGATAGGAAGCCGCTACAAAGTTATTCCAACTTTGTATTTGTGGCTGGGTGAACACTTAAGGTGTGATTAACTTGTTAATCACACCTTAAGTATAAGATGTAGATGGGGCCTTAGTACTGTTTAAATACCAGTCTACTTTATCATAAAGATAAAGGCAAAAGTGATGTTTCAAACCGAGATACAGCCTTTAACTTTTCTGAAGGTTGGGAACCTACTGATCAAAAATTACAAGCTAACGTCAAGCTTCTCAGTTTGGAAGTTAAAAATAAATGTACCAAATGTCTTTCCAGAGTTTACATTTGCATTAATAGGGTTGGAGTGTTGTTTTAGCCATGATGATCCAGGGAATGTACAAGGCAAAGCTTCTTTGTGATACCTTGAAGCCCAAAAACTTGTCCAACACCTCTTTCATTTGCATTAGACATTTCTGCTAGCATTATATAAATATTTGGATACCCACCATGACAAGTCTGTACCAAAACTATGAATTTTTATTGGTAGAATTGCTTCTGTTTCACTGGAAAAGATCTCATAAATTGAAGCAATTATATTCATTAGGCAATGTTGTCCATTATTGGTATGTTTCATGCAATTTTATTTTTGCTTTCAGAAACTAAGTTTAAAAATGAAGCAGCAGCAACAATTAGGGAAACTTTAATAAAATATGATTTGAGTGAATGGGCTTTTACAGTTGGGCTAATACAGTATATAAAGAAAGGTTTCACAGTGCCCCATGCCCAATATTAAAACAATTTTTGAGAGGGCGAAGCATAATAGGTGCAATATAGGAACAAAGGAACCTTTATAAACATCTGTATTTCAAATTATATATTGTAGCCATAACATACAAGTGTGAATGTAGAATTCTAATTACCATTATACTGTACCTCCCTATCTTAATCCCTATCATTGCCTAAGGCTGCTTTCCTCATTAATGACTTCTTCAAGAATAACAATAGAACTATAATTGAGTCATTGTTGATTTGACATAACTCAAGTTGTTGCTTATAGTTGTTTTTCCATGCTGCAGCTGCACTGTTACTACTGCTGAATTTTGACTTTGCTTCTGCTTTGCCAAGCACAGGCCTATGGAAACCCTAATTAATACTCAAGCATCAAAGTCAGTGGTATTTAAGCACACGCTTTGGTGACTCAAGGCTTTAATTTGTGCCTGTTTTCTTTAGTCCTTTGCATTAGTGAGATTATGGATCTTTGACAAGTCATCACATAGGAAGCAGAAATGACTAATAAAAATAAAATGAACCATTGATTTCTGTGCTTTTTTTTTGGAACACAGCCATGTAGACTCAGGAGCAACCTGCAAAGAACTTGGAAAGAGGAATACAGGAAATAGGAAGAAAGAGTTTGAAGGAGGGACAAAAAGGTCAGTCTGTAGGTACATAGCCTAACTGCTAGCTGCATTTCTAGTGTCTCTATAAGTGGTTCTCTTAACAATGAGACAGTTTATTACCTAGCATATAGTATAAGAAACCTAAGGCTTAATCCTTCATTACAAGAACAGCTACTTAAGGAATCTGGTACTGGGTCCAAAGAAGAAAAGTGTCTTCTCCGTACTAAAGTTAGCCAACAAATTTTGTTTCATTTGTGGTTTAAAACTGTAAATGAAAGCAAATTTCTATCCTAAATCATTCCGGCTTCCTATAAACCTCAAAATAATTCCTTCATGCTATCAGTGGGGAAGTATGTTCCTCCTCAAGGACAAACCAAGCACATATACCTAGGGCTAGGCAGTGAGGGAAAGGGTTTTACAGCATATTAGCTACTACATAATAACATGCAGATCTTGGATTTACCTCTTCGGTCATCTCTGGACTCACTGATGACTTCCTGATCTACTGGAAGATTGTCATTCTCATATCAAGAGACTGCTGTCGCTGCTGACATAGTAACTGCCTGTATATCTTCTTACCCTATGGTAAAGGAAAACTAACCTGCATTAGTTCTTTCACTGAAGAATTAATATTCCATAACTGCATGTGAAAAGCATATACATAGAAAGGTATTGCAGTGCAGGTGACAAACTGTAAAGCCTTGTTCTATTTTACTATACAGTAATTTGTTTTTATGCCCATCCTCTCATAGACCTAGTATAAGGTCTAAGTCTACTCAAGACACTGGATAGAAAGAAAAACAAGATAAATATTTTCCTTTCCTTAGAAGTAAAATGCCAAGACTATATCAACTGATCAAATAGGTCAGAAAATCAATAAAAATATACCAATCTAGATCTGGCCTTTTGTTTTTCTTGTCTTCCCTTGCAAACATGAAAGGAAATCTTGACTCTGCTGAAGTTCATTTTACAACACAGTTCAATACAGTCTGAATTTCACTCTGAGCTCATGGATACTAAGAACTGCAGTAATGTTTTGGGGAGGAAACGGACTAATCTATCTCTTGCTGCATCATGACAACACTGGGCACTGACAGATGTGCTGCTCCCTGCTGTAACTCATGGCGCTTCACAGAAAGTGCTCTGAGTTACAGTGATCCCCTAAACCCAACAGGCATTCACAGTTTGGATGGAGGGCAGGGGGCAGGGAGGAGGAATTGAACTCCACTTTGGAGCCAATCCAGTGGGGAGAGACTGCATGTCTGTAGCCCTGACCATATAAAGATCAACTTAAAATATTTAACTACAAATAGTAAATATTCTCATTTTGATTAATAAAATTATCCACAGCATCTAATTTTGAGCAAGTAAGTCTTTGCAAGATCAGGGCCTAAATGAGGAGTGGGTGGAATGGCCGATCCAGCTGGCAGTTGGACTGAATTTCCCAGCAGCCCCTGCCTGCATAGGTGGGGCCAGTCTCCATGGAGATCCCAGCTGCAGCTGCACTGTGAAAGCTCAAGGCTGGGGTTGCCATGGAGACCAGCCCTACCTGTGCTGGCAGGGCATGCAGCAGAGCAGGGCAAGGGGCTGCTCTGGAGCTGCAGATGGGAGCAACTTCCTCTGGAGCCAGGGGACAGCCAGGATTTGCAGCCTGCATACTCTGGGCAGGGGCACACAGGTAGGGGATTGCAGCTCTGCCCCTGCTCCAGACCAGGCTGTCACCACTGCAAGGAGGCAGGGCAGAGCCAGGATCCCCTGCCTGTACGAACCTGCACAGAGCATACAGACTGCAGACTGTGCCTCTGTCCTGGCTGTGGAGCAAACTGCCCCCAGTGCAAGATCCCTCGAGCTCTGGAGCAGCCACCCTGCTCTGCTCTGACATGCACCCTGCCAGCGTGGATGGGGCTGGGCTCCATGGCAACCCCAGCCTTAAGCTTTCACAGCACAGCTGCGGCTGGGGTCTCCATGGAGACTGGCTCCAGCCATGCACAGGGGCGGCTGGGAAATGGAGTTCACTGCCAACTGGATCCGGCCTGCAGGCCGGACTTTGCCTGTCCCAGGCTAAACAGACAAAACAGTAAAGATTAAAATGAATAAGTAAAGAGGTCTGGATGACTAAAAATACATAAGAAAAAATACATAAGAATATTAAATCTACGCACAGCTTGATCCAATGTCCCAAGAAGACTCATTGAGGGCTGTCTGGCAGCAGATTCCTTTTCCTTTCTGTAGACCAACCACTGGAGAGCAATGTCATCATTTGCTCTGTCAGAGACCCAGTGATAAAACATGGTACTCTGTTTTTGCTACTTCTGTACTTATATGATCTGCAGTACATGCGTGTGTGTGTGTATCTATGGCATCTTTTGTGAAAATCTGCAAGAGCAGAATTGTGAAATTTGGAATTAGAAATGAATTATTTAAGGTGCTTCACAAAATGTTTGCAAGGAAGCTTGATGCCTTATAAATTCCTGGAAAATAAAAACTAAATTTAAGGGAATAATTCATTCTTCAGAAATATAAAAAGCATGGAAGCAAACTGAAAACCACAGTGGGATCACACAAAATAATTAAAACTTTTTGGATAATGAATAAATTCACATTAGAAATGTGTGGACAACTTGCATGTAGCAGAGATGATTAAATTTCCAAAATAAATTGCTAGAAATTGCTTGTGTAATTCTAGCAATATGATGCCTATTTATGTATGATATTGAAAAAGGTATGAAATAATTTATTATTTCTTATGCTGAAATACTTTTTCAGTATCAATATATGCTATATGTAGTCTAACATACTTTGAAGTGTTTCCTGTACGTAATTGTGAGTTAAATGACTAAGAAAAAATAAGGATTGACATTAATTTAGCTCCTTGTCATCACTTTTGTCATTGCAGTCCACCTTTCATGTCTCAGTGAGAGAGTCTGTGTGCAAATTCAGTTCTGTTTTGAAGCTAAATGTATTACAAGTTTGTTTTCTTATCATTTCTTTTATATACTTTAATGGTTTCATGTCAAATTAAGCCTATGGAAATCACCAGTGCTGTGTAACATCTCATGAGTAATGAACTGTATCACAATTCCTAATGTGGTCTCAACTGATTCAGAATGTTGATTCTTTCTTTGCAATTTTGAAATGTCTATTTAGTGAAAGATTCATGATGTAGTGATATTTTTCATCTACTAAACATGACACAGGTTAATAGAATTTATTGTATGCAGCCACTCTGGGTTCGACTTCAGGGTATTTTTTTCCAGTTTGCAAATGATTTAAGACTTGGTGCTTGTGGACTTGCTAGTCAGCACAATGAGGTAGTGGGCTTAAAAGAATAACGGATGACATTTAACACACATTTTCATTTTATTAGTAAGGTACTCCATCAGAGTAAGCATAAAAACTGCCCTTATGCTAATGTTGCTCTGTATCATCACTTAAAATCTCAACCAAACTGAATAATGCAGAAATTAAAAAACAGAATTTCTATGTCAATTAATTTTAACAAAATGAAGGAATTAATTGACTAACTAATATTTTTCCAACATAGACTACTTGTTACTGATGTTATATTAAGATGACACAGTGCAGTTATTATTAAAACTGAGTTTTACAAAGAGGATGATTAGTTCAATGCAGCTGCCTCAAGGTGAAAATAAATAATGTGTACCTATCTTTATACAGACAGTACACAGGGAAACGTTTGTTTAAAGGACCGTCTGTTGTACAAAACTTTTATATGCCGTTAAAGTGTATATACAAAAAAATTACACTTCAAAGTGTAACAAAGTGCAGTGTAGAATGAAAATTTTGTATAACAAATCTTAAAAAAATGAAAGCAGAATTTTACATGCAGTGTGCTTTTTAGAGAGGATTCGCTGTAATTTCTTGTTTGTCACTGGATTTTTTTCCTCCATTTTCCAACTTGCTTTATGCCCCAGGTATTATATATCACTTTCCTGGAACCTCATGTAACTTTCTTGTGAATACATTTTATAGGCCTCTCCCTGGATGGGTTCTCAAGGGATAGGAGATTTGACAATTTCTCTTTAGCTCAAGCTGTAACAACGCATGCTTTTATATCTGAAGTTCCCTGGTTCAGGCCCATTATGACGGTCAGGAAGGTGACTGCTACATTTTACTCAACTTGAACTTTCTGCCTGACTGCTCCCTTCTACTTTTCTTTCACTGTCATCTTCAGACCTTTTTCCATGCAAACTCTTGCATGTGAATTAATCTTCTATTATTTAGGTTTTAAAAAACCTCCTTTAGATTCTATCACATTACTTCCATGAAATATCAAAGGATCAGTATGAGATTTTTATATTATTTCCTGCTCAGAACAGCACGCCACATACTCTTTATTTGGACTACGTTGTGTGCTTTTTGGAGCAGGGACAAATTGCATACTTTCTGTAAGTACTTCATTTCAAGTTTTATGGTGTTTACAAGCCTATTCAGCAAAGTCCTGGACTTTATCATTATGCAGACCTGTTTCTCAAATGTTTACAGAGTTCTGCAAGCCTCTGTAGTATTTCCTCTGTAGTAGGAAATACTACAAAAACAATTGCTAAATTATATAGAAATGTTCATAATTCTTCAAAAAAAAAGAAGAAAAGAAAAGTAAAAGAATTAGGTGCTTGACCCGAAAGGGAACCCCCCCCCCACAAATTTAAATCAGCATTTAGTGGGGGTGTAGACCTTGCTTGAACATTGATTTATATTTACTGATCACCAGGGATTTGGGTTTTCTGTTTCTTGTGGAAAAATAGAGTAAAACATGGATTTTCCCTCTTACCAGAGTAAAATGCAAATTTCTCATTTTAGCATCCAAAACCCATGGATGTTGCAGTTTTGCAACAAGCCCTCTTCAGGCTGGCAGAGTTCCAGCCTGCAAGGGGCTGGGAGGGAGTAGAAGGAGGGTGCTCAGGCAGGGGACTGCCAGACAGCTTGGAGAGCAGCTCATACAGGTTAGTGGTGGGGTGGGGGAGGAGGGAGGCCCCCATAGGGAGGGAGGGAATTGGGAAGGGCTGGGGCTG